AAATAAGAATTTAAACCATATATAACATCATAGTAGTTTAATGAATACCATTTCATGTGACTGGTTTCTTTATTGACTTATAAAAACCAATTGATGTGCCTTTTGAAAAGCCTTGTGCTAATTAGGTATATAATTTTTCTTTCATTATAGATAGTCATTGTGGTGATTTCTACAGCACAGTGTGATTTAGTTAACTACTTGAGATTATAATACTTTCAGATCAGGTTGGCATACCTCCTTAGTAATTATTATTCCTTTCCAGGAATATAACCCACCATAAAAAAAAAAAAAAAAAAAAAAAAAAGCTGCATTTTATTTTGCCATTCTTGGCACAGCTGAAATTTTCTGTAGACCTTATTTAATTTTCCATCTCATGAGAATGCAGGAAACCAGAAGTCCTGATAAGCTACCTGACTCGGTTGACATCAGATAAGCTTGTCAAAGATGTGTAATCTAGTCTTTTGGATCCTGATCCAGTATATTATCTGTCAGGCAAGAGAGACTGTAATTTGTTCTACATTTAGTATGCTAGAATCATCCAATGGCTGACTAACTTCAATTACGTTTTTACAAACAGAAACCTTTATTTATCCTGGTAATGTATTTTGTTTATTTCCAAAGTCTTAATTAATTTATTACATGAGATTCTAGCAAATAAAAGACATTTTTTTAGATGTGCTAATTTCCTAAACAATACAAATTTGCTAAACAGTACAATGTTTCCTCATTTTATTTTATTTTTTTAAAAGATTTTATTTATTTATTTGACAGAGAGAGATCACAAGTAGGCAGATAGGCAGAGAAAGAGAGAGGAGAAAGCAGGCTCCCCACCAAGCAGAGAGCCTGATGCGGGACTTGATCCCAGGACCCTGAGATCATGACCTGAGCCGAAGGCAGAGGCTTAACCCACTGAGCCCAGGCACCCAATGTTTCCTTATTTTAAAAAACAATTTCCTCTCTAGTTATTCTGTAAAATAGGTTTATAATATGGACATTTTCTTTTCCTTATCTCAATGTTCTACCTCATCATACCACTTGTTATTTCAGTGTAAATTCATTAATTAATAATTTTGCTGTGACTTGAAGGTTTTTTCCTCATATCTAGTTTTATAAAGAATATGCACAAGACATGGATGAGGTTGTTACCACTGTCTTTTTCCTTCTTCTGGCACCTCATACCATTCATAAGTAAGAAAAGGGTCATTCAATCACTACTAGGGTGATTGAAATTGTTCTTCCTGGAACAAATCTGATTCAAGTATGTTTCATAGGTAGTTTGAAGAATGTCATCAACTTGTATAATTTGGGTGTTATTATGGTCCAGCATTTTCCTATAATATCCCAATAGAATAAATACAAAGAAGTATACATATCATCCATGAATTTCTTTCATCTTCTAACATATTCATAATATGCCCCTTACATTTTCCTGGTTATTATTGCCATGTCTATTCCATCCCCTCTCATTTCTTGACAGTTTTGTTCCTTGGTCTCCATCGTTCTTCCCAGGGCTCCTCCTATCTCAGCTATCCATTAAGAGATGCTTCTAAAGATTAGTTCCTTGCCTCCCATGATCTCGTCCTATGTAGACCTCAGCCACTGACTCCTGTTCGTATCCTTGGTAACAGCATAGCCTATAACTGTGGATCCTCTAGAGCCTAATTCAGCCTATCCTCATCTGACTGTCACTTCCCTCTGGTACTTGATAGTATCCAGCATTCCTTTATTTGTTTATTTTTTAAACTTTGTGCTGTGGAAGTATCCAAAAGTAGAAAGTAAGTATATAGAACCCTCATGTTTTGCCAGTTTTGTTTCGTTGACTATAATATGAACTAAATACAAGGTAACATATCATTTCACCTGTAGCCATATTAATATGTATATTTAAAAGATAAGACTTTTATTATTACTGTCAACATGAAAAAAATTAACAGTAATTTCTTAATATTTAATTGTTTTTTAACCTCAGCAAGACCACAATTCATTGATTCCAGTCTTGTTTCACTGCTTCTCACATCCATGACACCCTCCTTCCTCTCTTTGTCTAGTCTAAATCCCATGACAAGTCACTTTAGCCTCCCACATTACCTCTACTCTCAGTTCTTCTTCCTTATCTCTCTCCATTATACTCTCATGGCCGTAACTACATCCATGGTTTAATCAAACTTTCTGCTTCCTCCGAGCTGGCATCCCTGCAGCTGAAAAAGGTGGAGAATAACTCACAACCGCATTGACTGTTCTCATTTTAAATTTATGATCTAGAGAGTTCTTAATATGTCCTGTAATTATACTGCATTTCTGTAGTTGATTCTGTTTCCTTCCATCCTAGATGATTACTTAATACCCCTGTCATCATTCTCTATCTAACACATCTTCCATAATCTAGGGTCTTCTCAGTTGAAGCCCTTGCTTCCCGGTTCATGGAAAACATTGAAGCATTCACAAGAGAACATGCCCAATGCCATTACCACACACTGGGCCTTCTGTCTTGATATTATAGGTGATCTTTTACTGGTCTTTATTCTCTGTGCTCTCATAACTTTATTTTTACACTAGATTTGCTCTTTTATTGCCTCCTCAAAGACATTGCTCCAGAAATTCTTTCCTTCCCCACCCACCTCCCACCATCTCCTACATCATTCAGTTTCACTCATTCCATTAGCATGCAGACATGCCATTATTTCCCTCACCCTAAAACAGCAAAAAAGTAAAACCCTGTTTGACCCAGTTTTCCCCACGGCTACCTCTTCATGTCACTGCTTCTTCTTATAGCCAGTTTACTCAAGAAGAGTTGCCTATACCTGCTATTTCCAGTATTTGTCTTCCCCATTGCCCCTTAAATGTCTTACAGTAATGCTTTCGTGCTTATCACTCCACTGAAACTATACTGTCCTTTGCTGGTACCTTCTCTTGTCCCAGGGTACAGTCCTTGGTCTCCTTTTCTTTATCCAGTCTCCCTTGGTGAGTTGGATTTAATTGTCATCTCCGCACAACTGACGCCCAGTTGGCATGTCTGGCCTAGACTTCTCTACTTAGCATTCCACCTGGCCCCTCAAACTTAACTAGCCTTTTTAATCTTCTACCTAAAATTTAACGTAGCTGTATTCTTCCCGATCTTAGTTGATGACAACTTGGTCCTTCACATTGATGAGGCTAAGAATTTTAGAGTCAGTCTCTTTCCCCCTTTTCCTCTCACATGCTATGTTCAATCCATTCAGAAATCCTTGGCTCAAAAGTATCTGACATTTGGCCATTTGTCTTCATCATTGATGGTGACTAGGACCAGCAGCCATCACCCCTCACTTAAAATGCTCCAGTAGTTCTAACTGGCCTGCCTGTTTCCACCCTAGTTTCGACCCTTAGAATCAACACAGTAACCAGAACAAATCCTTTTCAAACATAAATCATATCGTATTGTTGCCTCAATTGAAAAACTTCATAGTTTATAATCTTATTCAGGACAGAAGGCTGAAGGCTTTATAATACCTTCAAGGCCTTGTGATTTCATGTCATTTCTGCTGTCTCCTTGCTGCTTCTTGAATATGCTGGGCAAACTCCTGATGTTGGGCCTTTGTACTGCTGGTATCCCCTGCCTGGAACACAATTTGTCAGGATAATCATGTTGATGACTAACTCCATTCATTTTTATGTCTTTGCTCAAAGGGTGCTTTCTCAAAGAGACCTATCTAGAAAGTCCCAAACCCTACCTTCTCAATTTGGGGGGGCTTATAATCCCCTTATTCTTTTATATTTTTTCCCCAGTAAGCTTCTCATTTCACAGAGGTGCTTGGTGGCTCGGTTGGTTAAGCATCCAGCTAGCCCTGCGTCAGGGCTTAGTTAAGGAGTCCGTTTCTCCCTCTCCCCATGCCCTTCCCCCACTCATGCATGCACACAGGCACTCTTTCTCTGTCCCTCTCTTTCTCTCTAAAATAAGTCTTAAAAAAACCTTATAACTTATTACCGAATTTATCTATTTATTGTATTTATTGCTTATGGTTTCTTCCCTGACCTAATATGTAATCTTCATCAAAAGCGGGAATTTTGTGTTCTTCTCCAACAAATAGGAGGTGGACAGTCGAGTCATTTTGCCCTTCTTTCAGCATTATTTCCCTCCACTGCTTCTCAGAGTCAATAATGTTTCTGTTGCCGATAGTTAACATGCACTCTTTCCATTTTAGGGGTCTGTTCTTTAGGAAATTTCTGTGTTTATCTTCTTAATCATACTGCCGTTTTGCTTATTCTGCTTATTTTGTCTGCTAAGCTCATTTTAGGCATATATATTTAATTTTCTGGTCTTTTAAGTCCTATGCCCTTTCTCAGCTTTGGCTGTTCCCTACCTATATTTCTATTTCTTTAAGATTTATTTCTCTTGGCACACCTGGGTGGCTCAGTGGGTTAAGCCTCTGCCTTCCGCTCAGGTCATGATACCAGAGTCCTGGGATTGAGCCCTGCATAGGTCTCTCTGCTCAGCGGGGAGCCTGCTTCCCCTCCTTCTCTCTCTGCCTGCCTCTCTGCCTACTTGTGATCTCTGTCTGTCAAATAAATAAATAAAAATCTAAAAAAAAAATTATTTCTCTTTCCCAGTATCCCAAAACATGTATTACTAACAGCTAGTTTCAGAGAGGTTGCTTTTCCCCAGAAATATTTCCCACAAAAAATTTTAACACTGGTTTCCACCTTCCATCTACCTGTCCCCTCCCATTACCCTATTCTGATTTGGGTTTGTCCTTTGCTCAGCAAACTTACTGAAATGCAGATTCCCTTTGACTTAAAACCAATATAAAATTACTTAGTTCTGTAAATCTGTATGTTGTCACTTGTTTATTTTCAGTATACTTTTGCATCTTCTACTTTAGGAAACGCACACACATTGTGTATACATTTATAAGTATTATGTATTTGAATATTTTCTATTGTATCAATTATTATTGAAAGCAAGCAATTTCTAAACCTTTACCTATTGAGTATCTAAAATTGTTTTACATTTTTGTCTTTAATAGGTCATTGCTTTAGTGATGGATATATTTACAGATGTGGACATTTTCAAAGAAATAGTGGAGGCATCAACTCGAGGGATATCTATATACATTCTGCTTGATGAGTCCAACTTTAATCATTTCCTAAATATGACTGAAAAACAGGGCTGTCAAGTTCAACGACTAAGGGTAAGAATTCCATGTTTATTTGTTTGTTTGTTTTTCCTTCACGTATTTTGTGTATCATTTTTATCTTAGTTGAAGTTAAGCAAGTTAAGCTATATCACTCCCAAAATAAATATATATACATATATGCGTAAATATATTTAAGGTGGTATAATGATTTATCACTGAAGGGTACCTTTGTATTTTTTTGGAATGTGACTGAGAACACACATCTTCATGATGGTTTTAGAAGATACTTTTCTTGATGGGGCACTTAAGCTTCTGAGTTAACTTTGCTCAGACATAATAAATGCTTTAGTTTCTCCATGAATAACCTTGAAACCACTGACTTGAGTAATTCTTTCATTCAGCAGATGTTGCTTATCACAATCATTAGGCATAGTGTTTTCAGTTACATTTGACTTCTTAAAAAGGAGCATGGAATTTAATTGTAGTTATTGTGGAATCATGCTACTGTAACCTGAACGGCTCTCTTGCAATAGGACCCTAGGTGATTTATGAAGCCCTTCTGTATAAATGTAGAATAATGCCTCCTATTTATGTTATGTTAAAATACATATTTTAAGTGTTTTTCTCGAGCCTTTTTTTTTTTTTTTTTTGGTGATGTCTTAAAATTTGCTTTTACCATTTTTTTTGTTGTTGCTGATTTAAAAGATTATTTCAAGTATACTTTTTTGGTACTAAGATTTTATATTGCATATATTTCATTTTCAAAATATCTCTTTTCTGGTTATAATTTTACTTTCTGTTTACATGTAATTCTAGAATATTCGAGTGCGGACAGTAAAAGGCCAAGATTATCTTTCCAAAACAGGAGCAAAATTTCATGGAAAATTGGAACAGAAATTTTTGTTAATTGACTGCCAGAAAGTTATGTATGGTTCCTACAGGTAAGATCATTGTGTTTACCTTCAGCATTATCAGTCATTTACAGAATTTATATTAGTTTCAAATTTTAACATACTCTGTTTAGCTATTTCTTAGACATAAAACAAGAACCTTTGCATGGAAGTTTGGAGGCTTCGGTTTCAGTTCTGGTTGAGCCGCTAAAGAACATTAAGACATTGGGCAAGTCGTATAACTTCCTTGGGCTCCAAGTTCTTCATCCCCAAAATTAGGGGTGGGGTGTTGAGTTGTATTTAGGTTCCCTAAAATTCTATAATTCTAGGAGTGATTTTGCTCCTTATGAAAACAGTCTTAGTATGGGCTTAATAATAACAGTTGTTCATAAAAATAGAAGCCCTGGAACACCTGGGTGGCTCAGTCAGTTAAATGTGTGCCTTTGGCTCAGGTCATGATCCCAGGGTCCTGGGATCGAGCCCCAAATCAGGCTCCCCCAGTGGGGAGCCTGCTTCTTCCTCTCCCTCTGCTGCCCCCCCTGCTTGTGCTCTCTCACTCTCTCTCTGTCAAATAAATAAATAAAATCTTAAAAAAAAAAATAGAGGCACTTTATCACTTTGAGCAGCCTGATCTCTCTGGATTGTTCTTATTTTAGTATTATTAAGAATCTGATAGTTATCATCATGTAGTCACTATATATAGAACTACCCAAAAAAGCATTTCAGAGTCAGGCTATTGAAAATGCCATGGTAGACACTGGACAGGGTTTACTTGGGTTACTGTTATCTGACCTCTTTCGAGAGACCACTGATGGAATGCCTACTCTGTTCCACCTTGGCCCTGCCACATATGTCATCCCCAGTCCTTACCACTTTTTGGATACATTTGTTCTCATCTACATTTATAAATGATGAAACTGAAGTTCCAGGAGGCTAAGCGATTTGTCTGAAAACTCCCCAGCCGAAGGTCAGAAGCAGTCCCAGATGGACAGCCCAGTCCAAGTTCTACTGGCTCCAGAGTACAAGTGCTACCCTAACACTCTCTGATATATGCCAGGCATTGGTCCTGAATGGGCTGCACAATAAGCTCAGATCAACAGGCAGATAAAAATACCAGCCAGCACAACTGCTGGGTCGTCAGGCAGCACAGACTCATTCCTAAATACCGTGGAAATGAGCCAGGACAGCTGTGGATATAAACAGGACAGTGAAGGAAAACTTTTCCCTCTTCTCTTGGAACTTAGGATGTCCGCAAGAAGGAGACAACATGTTGAAGTGATTGGCCATGAGCAAGTTACTCAACTTGGTTGCACTCAAGTTTATTCCTCTATAAAGTTAATGATAATCCTAGAGCCTACCTTGTGTCCTTGTGAAAATTAAAAGAGTCAGTGCAGCATGGCCCCTAAAGTCAGCTATTATTTTAGGCGTGTTTTAGCTGTTACTATCTGCTAACTTTCCCTTTAGGCTCAGGGACCTTTTCTTGAAAGTGCCTTTTGGAGTTCTAAAGGAAAACTTGTTAAGAGCAGAAATTACAACCAGAGCTTGAAATTAATGAGTCCTTTAAAGACTCATTATGCATGTATGTATTTGGTCAGACCCACTTGGTTTTACAGGGATTTTATAATTGAAATTTTAATTAAAATTAGGCACTCACTTGACTTCCAGAATGGTATTTATTAGTTAATTTCATCCTAATGAATGCTTTCTGTTTTTATTATTTAAATTGACTTTTAAGATTACCGTGAACAATAATTTCACCTTAACTTTGTTTTGCTAGTGCTAGGCGTTAATAGCAGCTGTATGTTGAGATGACTGTGGCTAAACTACTTTAAAGTGTTGTTGGGAAAAACAAACAACAGCAACAGAAACTCGATATCTTTCTATGCATATCATAAGCGAAGGCAGAATTTAAGTTACTATTTATGGAAGTGAATATATAGAATATCTAGGACCACAGATGATAAAAATTAACCAAAACTCTTACATAACAACTCTATTTTCCTTATTATTCCATGTTAATTTTAAATATACTTCTTTTAAAAAATGACTGTCCCAACCCTCGTTTCCCGCTACCCCTGCATTATCACGGACCTTTCCTGTAACAGTATTGTAACAGGATCTGGTGGAACAGTTATGAACTAGTCTTCATGGAAACTGGCTAAAAATTGACTTATTTTTGGTTAAAAACAGCCTTTGTCTCTAATTCCAGTATTGCCATCATCTTCATCATAGCCCAAATCAAAATGCCACCTTCTTTAACTCAAAATTCTTTGCCGTAAAATGTCTCCATATTCTATTTCTTTAAAGGTATTATTTATTTATATGTCAGAGAGAGAGAGAAAGTGCACAAGCAGGGAGAGCAGCAGGCAGAGGGAGAAGCAGGCTCCCCGAGGAGCAGGGAGCCCGATGTGGGACTCGATCCCAGGACCCTGGGGTCATAGCCTGAGCCGAAGGCAGATGCTTAACTGACTGAGCCACACAGGTGTCCCAAAATGTCTTCATATTCTAAACTCCAAGCATTTCCAGAGAGGCATGATGTCTAGTCATACATTGTGTGACAATTCACTCATCGTGATGACAGTTTTATCAGATTGCAACAGATGCTTTGTCCTATGAGATAAAACAAATATACTTTTGTTGATGAGATAAAACAAATATACTTTTTATCAATGTGTACAAATCAGATTGTTAATTGGATGCCCTCTTTGAAATTATATAAAATCTAGAACATATTATTAGTAAAATATTGTCCACAAATTTGACTGGGAGAGAATTTTATAAAGTTCTTTTTTTTTTTTTTTTAAATCTCATGGTCTCTATAAAAGCCACTTTCAAAAGACATGTTTCACTGAAGTTGTTGGCTTCCAGGTGCCATTTTTTATCAGACTTGAAGACTGTCGCATTTAGAGACCCATGATACAACTGGTGTACTGTCACTACTTTCTCTGTGGATTTCACTCTCGATACCAACCAGAAAGTCAGAGTTTCCCTTTTGTGCTTGCTTTCCCAGATTTTCCCAATGTCATGAATATGACAGTGTGTCTGGAGGGAGTGGAAGTAGTGTTAATTTTATTTTTTATCCAGGAAAATATGTACATTTAAAAAAATATATTTATTTATTTATTTATTTGACAGATCACAAGTAGGCAGAGAGTCAAGCAGAGAGAGGTGGAAGCAGGCTGCCTGCCGAGCAGAGAGCCCAATGCGGGGCTCGATCCCAGGACCCTGGGATCATGACCTGAGCGGAAGGCAGAGGCTTTAACCCACTGAGCCACCCAGGTGCCCCTGCACATTTTTAAAAATAGCAAATATTACCAAGAGATAAGAATACAGGGGCACCTGGGTATCTCACTCGGTTAAGCTTCTGACTCTTGATCTCAGCTCAGGCCTTGATCTTGGGGTTGTAAATTCAAACACTGCAGTGGAACTGCATGAGTTCAAGCCCTGCCTTGCATGGAGCCTACTAGAAAAGGAGGGAGGGAGGATATGCATGCAATACAGGCCAGTTTCTGTTCTCCATCTGTATCCACTCCTGGATCCTGATCTCCAGATGCAGTATTTACTTCTTTCAGCTGGTTCTTCTGATGGTTATTACATTCTCTTATATAACATGATTATACTGTGAATGCTAAGTTTATCACTTTTAGATATTATCTCTTCATTCTATAGTATAGTAATTGAAGGGTTACATTTGCTATTCACCCAAATCCACTTGCCCTCCTGGTTGCCATTCACCCAGTACAGTTTTATCACAATTGTTTCTTAAGTAAGAAGTCTCCATTTACATTTCTTAAATTGTGTCAGAATTGGTCATTGATGAGCCTTGGAGTCATTTGTGATATGCTTCCTTTCTTATAATAAAGTTAATAATGACCATTTGGTTTTTGGTTTTATTTGCTGTCTTTTTTTTTCTGTTTATTACTATTTTTTTTTTCCAGTTGATTCTACAGAATTTTTAGCACATGAACAACTTTTCCAAATGCTAAATTACTACCAACAATCTGTCATGTCCCATCTGGCTTAACAGGTCTTTAACCTGGAGTGCTGCTGGGGTCCTGTGATATCCCATATTCCCGGGTAGTTTAAGCCACAATTTCTTAAACCCCATGTTAATCCCATTTTTACATCTTTTTTTGTTTCCAAATAATTGTTTTTCTCTCATATTTGCCTAAGAACAATTTCCATCAGGATGAAACTTTTTTTTTTTTTTTTAAAGATTTTATTTATTTATTTGACAGAGATCACAAGTAGGCAGAGAGGCAGGCAAGGATGGAACTTTTTAAAAGTCAAATTCGGGGCACCTGGGTGGCTCAGTGGGTTAAAATCTCTGCCTTCCGCTCAGGTCTTGATCCCAGAGTCCTGGGATCCAGCCCTGCATCAGGCTGTCTGCTCAGCAGGGAGCCTGCTTCCTCCTCTCTCTCTGCCTGCCTCTCTGCCTACTTGTGATCTCTGTCTGTCAAATAAATAAATAAAATCTTTAAAAAAATAAAGTCCAGAAATTCGTAATTTTAAGTGATTGATGGATTAACTGGGGATGATACTCTAAGCCAAATCATTTTTCCTCCAAATGTGAAAGACGCTGCCTGGCAATCAAAGTTACTGTTGAGAAGTCTCAAACAATTGTTATTCCCATCCTTCTTATGTAACTTTTTTTTTTTTTTTTTCTGGAAACGTCTAAGGTTTCTCTTCTATCCCCTGCTGTTCTCGAATTTATTATGTTTCTAGGTCTAGGCTTTTTTTAATTTATTGTTCTAGGCAATCCAAAATAGTCCTATCCTCCAATTCTGGGACATTTTCTTACTTATTCTTTGATCATTTCTTCTCCTCGGTTGTCTCTATTCTCTCTCTCTTTCTCTCTCTGGAATTCTTATTCATTAGATTTCTGCTCCCATTGTATTTTTCCCCCTCTGATTTTCTGTCTTGGGGTGGGTACTGCCTGAGGAATTTTCTCGGTTGTTTATTCTAACACATCTATTACAACTGTCTTTTAAAATTTTGCTATCAGATATTTTTAATATCTCCTGCTTGGACCATTTTCAAAGCATCCTGTTTGTGTTTTATAGATGCCTCATTTTCTCTGTTTCTTCGAGGATATTAATTGTAGTTTTTTGTAGCTCTGTTTTTATATATACTCTTATCCATGCAATTTCTGTTTCCTCCAGGTGCCTGTTTCCTGCTTGTTTTGGTCTCTGTTTTGCAACTAAACTTTTAAGCTTTATAAACCATCTTCTAAACATTCTTCAAATGTCTGTTGATCTTTAGCTGTGTATTGATGTTAAAGAATGAGGGACTCTAAGCTTATTGGAAATTGTGTGGGAAATATTTATCAACAGCAGAGTTTACATGAGAGCGATTGGCTGGAATCTTGACAGTTTTATTGTAAGTTGCCTGGATGTCAGTAAACTAGCTCTTTCATTTGAGGCTGTTCAGTGTTTCCAGAGAATAATCTCTACACTGAATATATACAGTGGAATGTCTTCTTTTAGCTGAAGTGATACCACAATATCATTTTTTGATTTACCAAAGTAGGGAAACTTCTCCAGTTGCAACATATTCACCAGTACCATTATCTTCTCAGTTTCCTGAGCTCAACACCTGGAGGCTATTTTTATTTCATAACCTATACATGTCCTTTATGACGTGCCGGTATTCTGGTTCTCTCTTCTTCTTGTTACTGGCTCAGTATTTTTAGTCTTTATTCCAATTTCCACTCTGGTTTGGGCTCTTATCACCTAACTTCAGTTATTTCAGTCATCACAGTAAATTCAGTCCCTCCTCTTTCAAATCTGTATTATAAGTACCTACTGGAAAAAAAATTATTCCTCAAACATCTTTTTATGATAATTTATCCGAATTTGGGGGGGAAAATCCTATACAGTCAAACTTTCTGCTTTGCTTTTAAGATTTTCCCCACCTGTTCATCATCAGTCTGTTATATAACTTTCTTTACTTCAGGTAAATGTAATTTGTTTTCTGTGTTCAACCAAAACATGGCCATTCTTTCCTTCTTATTCCCCTATGTCTCTCCTCCCACACAAACTGTTCCACACCTTCTGTGTTTGAACTTCTTGGTTGTCTAATCTCTGTCAAAATAGAGCTAAACTTCCACTTGTCTCTGGAGATTTCCTCAGATGTCATAGCTGACTATTCATTCCTCTACTTGCTCCTTCTCACAGATTTTTTATTTGTATCTTCAGTGGGGTTGAAAATTCCTGTAGTGATTCACTTTGTATCATTTATCTTAAGTCAGCCTGGTGGTCCACACAGGGTCTGTACAAAAAGAGCACCTACTGAGTTATTCTTCTCATACATGCATCCAGTAAGCATACTAGATAAAATTCAGTATATCAGATGGGCAGTGTTGTTTGTGTATTTAAAATATATTCTATATATTCTTTTAGTATTCATATGCCTTTGTTACTGTATCCCTTCTATAAAAACAAGCTCCTCTGTCTCCTTTTTCCTTTATTAACCCCTATCATGTTATGCAACAGTATCTAATATATAGCATATTATATATGTCTTTTTCTGCTCAGTGACTCTGTATGTTACATTATCTAAATTTTTACAAATCAGATTTAAAATTTATATGACATTTCAACTGTCACCTCTAAACTGCAGAAGTCCCACATAGTACTATAAAGTAGTTACAAACCTTAATTTCCTAGAAATTGTATTTTATATTAAAAGATCTTAATTGTCATTTTGACTGGCATGGCTCTTGAGGCTAAATTTACCAGTTCTCTGTCCACTGCATGCATAAAGTAAGTAGTTAAGTGTCTTTTATGGACTGAGACTGCAGCCCACAAATCCTCTCTCTGTGCACAAGCCCTGGCATTCCAAAGTACGCTTCCTGAGTAAGCTGCAGAGATAAAATATATGTATTAGCAAAAACCTATCTTATATTATAACATGCTAGAACTCTAAAGAATGTAGGCTTATGCTAGCATTTTGGAAACTGAGGTCCAAGCTCATGTGCGTAGATAGCTCAGTAAAAGCCAGATCTCTCAACTTTTCCACTGATACTGGCCTGTTTGCCCTCTGCCAAGATGCTTTATATGAAATATAACACTTCTACACCATAAAATCTTAGTAGGCAGAGATGCAAAATGCACAGCAGGCTTTTCTTTGGACTTCTAGAAAGTAATGTAAGAAGTTAGGGGTGGATTCAAAGCCAGGATTTGACTTGCTTTGTTATTTAAGATACGAATATGGTAGTAGGGGAGATAAGGCAGGTACTGCAATCATTTAATGACTGAAGATTAAACAACACATTTTTTCTTAGTAGAGTTATATATTGTCATTAATCTAACAGAAAAATTTAAATTTCCAATTTTGATTCTTTTTCAGCTACATGTGGTCATTTGAAAAAGCTCACCTCAGCATGGTTCAGATAATCACAGGACAGCTTGTTGAGTCCTTTGATGAAGAATTTCGAACTCTCTATGCCAGATCCTGTGTCCCCAGTTCATTTGCTCAGGAAGAATCAGCCAGGGTGAAGCATGGCAAAGCACTCTGGGAGAATGGCACCTACCAGCGTTCACTTTCTTCATTAGCTTCTGTTTCCAGCCAAAGAAACCTTTTTGGCAGACAAGACAAGATTCATAAACTAGAATCCGGTTACTTCAAAAACAGAGGGATATATACTCTAAATGAACATGACAAATATAGCATAAGAAATCATGGATACAAGCCTCATTTTATTCCAAACTTTAATGGTCCAAATACAGTTCGTCAGTATCAATCCAGTCAGATAAATGAAAATTGGAAGAGGCATAGTTATGCTGGAGAACAGCCGGAAACAGCACCATACCTGCTTCTTAACAGGGCTCTGAATCGAAACATTAATCCGCCAGGTAACTGGAAAAAGCCTTCAGATAGTCTCAGTGTGGCTTCCTCAGCGCGAGGAGGCTATGTGAGCCGCCAAAACACACCTGCCCAGAGTTTTGCGGATCGGCTCGCCCAGAGAAAAACAACAAATCTTGCAGAGAGGAACTCAAACGTACGGAGGTCTTTTAACGGGACAGATAATCATATTCGCTTTTTGCAACAACGAATGCCAACCCTTGAACATACCACAAAGTCCTTCTTGCGTAACTGGAGAATTGAATCCTACTTAAATGATCACTCAGAAGCTGCACCTGATTCAAACGGGTCAGCTCTAGGTGACCGGTTTGAGGGCTATGATAGTTCTGAAAATTTGAAAGCCAGTGCTCATTATACTCATTCTCGGCTTCGTTCCTCTTTTGTGTTTAAACCAACATTACCTGAACAGCAGGAGGTGAACAGTTGCACGACTGGCTCCTCAAATTCAACTGTCATCGGTTCCCAGGGAAGTGACACACCTAAGGATGTCCCGGATACCCCCACGAGTGGACAGCACGGGACGGACAAACCTGTGCCAGAATCAAGCCCCAAGCTCCCACTGCAGTCAGAGGCACCACAAATGCACACTTTGCAGGTTCCTGAAAACCACTCCCCAGTCTTAAATCAAGCTACAAATGGCCACACGGAGGCCAACAACTATTTATATACATCCTTGTGTGTAAATAAGCAGACAGAAAATCTAAAGAATCAACAAAATGAAAATGTGCTCAAACGGCGCAGTTTCCCATTCTTCGACCACTCAAAAGCCAACTTAGATCATGGACATAGTAAGCATTACGTATATAGCACACTTACCAGGAATCGAGTTAGACAACCAGAAAAACCCAAAGAAGATTTGCTGAAAAGTTCTAAAAGCATGCACAACGTGACCCAGAGCACAGAAGAGGACAGGGAGGTCATTAAGAGACAGCCTCCCAGCGGCCCCACGACCAAATCAATTTCTGTCGCTGCTTTGCTTGATATGAATAAAGATGAACCTAGCAAAGAACTCACTTCAAAGAAGGAAGTTAAGGGCTCTCCAAGTTTTTTGAAAAAGGGATCTCAGAAGTTAAGGTCATTACTTAGTCTTACCCCAGAGAAGAGAGAAAATCTCTCCAAAAATAAAGCACCTGCCTTCTACAGAATGTGTAGTAGTTCTGACACTTTAGTTTCTGAGGCTGAAGAGAATCAGAAACCAAAAAAATCAGAACCAAAATTTGATTCATCTCCTAGAAGAAAGCGTTCTTCCTCATCAAACTCTCAAGGCAGTGTTCACAAGAGTAAGGAAGATGTAACCGTTAGCTCATCTCAGGGTATAAGTTCTTCATCAGATGAAGGTAGCAAACTCGTACCTGCTCCAGGTCCAGTTGAAAACAAGTTCTTGGAAAGAGCAGGAGATGCCTCTGCCCCAAGATTTAACACGGAACAGATCCAATATCGAGATTCAAAGGAGATTAATACAGCTCTTGCTCCTGAAAGAAAACCAGCTGCTTCTCCAAGGCCAAAGCCCAATGAGCTTCTAAGATCTCATTCAACCGACAGGCGCATTTACAGTCGTTTTGAGCCATTTTATAAGATTGAAAGCTCTATTCAGCCAGCAAGCAACGTACCAAATACTGTTGTGCACCGCCCAGAAATAAAATCCACAACTGTGGGCAAGAGTTATGGCAGGTCCAGCCCAATGCTTAATTACAATGCTGGTGTGTATCACTCATACCAGCCAAATGAAAATAAGTTCCGAGGATTTATGCAGAAGTTTGGAAACTTTATACACAAAAATAAATGAAATACTGTAATTTCAAATAGTTTTTAAAACACAAATGACTACAGCTATAAACATTTGTCCAAAGAACTTTGTGGGCAGTTTTTGTAATGTGCCAATAGATTTCTGTAGGGAGAGAGTTTGGGGTATGATGTGTATGTTTACCAGTATACTAATATATGGTAAAGTTCTTCTGTGTGATAGAGTTAGTTGTGCTTAATTACAGTGTAGATGGAATGTCTCTATACACACTTTTAAATGGTAATGGTAAATAGAATGTAATTAAATTGTTTTCTGCAGACTGAAGATCTTAAGTCTCAAATAGAAGCTTTAGTAGAGAGAGATGGTGTATGGATTTGAAGCATTTGGTCCAAAGTCTTCCCTTTTAAGAAAGGATCCTAATACTATCAGGGGCCCTTTATAATATATCTTTATGGGTTTTCTTATCTCCAAATTATGAGAAGAATAGGACAAAGCCTTTTTGGGTTTTAATTACCTTTAAACTCTACAGGACAACTTGCTGTATTTTCTTAATTTCCCTGTGGAGCATATACAACCATACAGTTTAAACTCTGTAGCTCAGCATATCTTTCATTTTGACTGAGGTCTTTGCAAAATATCAACCTCATGTGGTACATGGTAGAAATTTCTTTTCCTCATTTTGTGAAAACCATCCAGGTTGTGCTGCTTTCCACTCTGGACCAGAGGAGCCCACTCTGCTCTCACCAGTCAGATGCTGAACTTTTATGGTCATTCCTTCCCTTCAAACTTAGAGCAAGTAGCAGATATTTGGGAAACCTGAATTATACCTCTCCTCTAAGAGAAAAAACCATTGAGAAATGTAAACTTTTGCATAAATTTTATCGTAGATCAGTATGACAGCACTTAGGTGTTTTGCTTGCAAAAGTCCTTGCTCTTTTTTATGCTTTGCCAAATAATAGTGGGAGCGCAGTGTTTTCACGAAAGTACCGTGATAGACATAAGAAGTGGCATCTGGCCCAATTCTTTCATGACCAGAGAACCTGGTTGAAAGTTTTAAATCTTTCCCTATCTTAACTGGATCATCATCAATCATTTAGAGCATATGAAACCGTTTGCCTTTCTTAGAATACTGAAATTAAAGCCCCACATCCATTAAATAAACTTTAACTTGACTTCACTTCATCCACAAAGGACAGAATTCAAGAAACAATGTATCATTTGAGACATGTGAGATATTTCTGTAACACTTTAAATATATCAACACCTTCTAAGTTGTAATGTGGGGCAGTATGTTGTTTTAAAAATTCAAGATTCAGTCAAATAATATCTGTCGTTAAAACAAGGGGCATCGAAGTATCACTCATTAAGATAGCTTTCCACAGTATTTAAAAACCACAATGAGAACATGACAAGAGAAAACATGACAGTAGGGAAAAAGAAAACCTAACATTTAGTGAGCCCTTTTTTGGACCAGGTCTTGAGCTAGAACCTATAGTTCCCACAACAATTATTTGGGGGCCACTCTTGTTCTCATTATTTGTGGATGATGACTGAGGTGATAAATGAGACTTTGAGACTCAGAGAAGTAATGCTCCATGTCAGACAACTAATAAGTCACGGTACTAAAAGTGCCTATGACATTCTCTCATATCCTGTTATCTCCCAAATGTGTTCAATATGTGCCTCGCCCAAAATGTTGAGAATTAAATGAGAGAATGTTTATATTTTCTGACTCAATGGCAAGCAGCCAAGAAAGCTTTAGTTGGATTCCACCAGACAATGGGACACATAGGGCTCAAAATAATGAAATTGACATTAATTTCTGATTGTAACTTAGCAAGCCAGTTATAATTGGCAGGCCACCATTTTGAGCTTGGGCTGGGACAATGAAAGGAAAAGGGAACTACAAGTTGAACTTGTGAATGTGCTAGGCAAAGATTGTAACTTAGCAAGCCAGTTATAATTGGCAGGCCACCATTTTGAGCTTGGGCTGGGACAATGAAAAGGAAAAGGGAACTACAAGTTGAACTTGTGTCTGTGCTAGGCAAAGTAGTCCTTTAGGAAGCTAGGCAGGGAATGGAACTCAATGTTAAATATATAATCTTGTGAAGTATTCACAATAGCGCTATGAGTTAAATACTTCCTTTTTGCAAATGAGAAAACTAATCCTTCGTGAAGTTACATAATTTTCCAAGAGTCACACGGCTCTGTATGGGTAGAACTGGGTTTGAACACAGAATTTGGTTTGAATGCAAAAGTCTGTATTTTTAATACTATACCACACCATACATTGCCGACTTCTACTCCATTATGATTGAGGCAACTTTTCTGAATGGTGTCTCTCTCTCTCTCTCTTTTGCTCTGTGTCTATACATTGCAGGAGTATATCAGAAATACTGCGGTAACATAACCCATTTACAGCATTTTGTAAACACAAATCCAGAATATAAACTCAGTTTAACATTATTCATAAAAGCAGGTTTCATGAATCCCATTATAACCTAGGGAATTCCCAACTACTGCAACATGGGATTTATTGTTTTGGAAAGCTGCATGTAATCGATTAGAAAATTTGCAGACTTTCTAATAAGGTAATAGCATACAAATAAAACTGAGAGAGAAAAGTTTATTTTTCATAGGCATAGTAGCCACTTGATCTACAAAAGTTTTGCAATTAAAAATAACTGTCGGAAGGTGCATTTGCTTATAATCTGATACAGATTTCAGCTGCAGTGAAACAATCTAATTGTTAGTGGGTTCGTTTTTAGAGTTCTGGAAATTGTATAATCTTTCTATGTTAGTATCAAATTATTAAAAAGCATTAGAATTGGAGTTGAGTGAATGAAAAAGATTTTTCATTTTGCTCTTGGAAAAATTCACTTTTGTAATTCTGGGCCATAGTCCTTTACCCACTTACCAAAGACAGAATGCACAATTACCCAAACCATACTGACTTTAATATTACCCATTCGTTGTTAGATGGGACATTTTTCAGGCCTATGGGGAAAATGGGCTAATTGTCATTAGGCAGCTCTGAAATTGGAAGTCCAAAAATGTAGAGCAAGATAACTTTGAAACTGAAATTACATAGACTAGTTTTAATCCTTTTTAATTACAAGCAAAAGCCTGTTGCCTTTTTGTGCAGCAACCACCACCATTTCTGGAAACAGATAGCTTGTAAATAGTTCCTGAATTCCTCCTCTCCCTCGTGGCATTGCGAAGTGCAGGAGGCTTTGTTTCATCTCCCTGTGACCTGTAGCTTCTGCTTTTGTACAGATTTATTCTCCTCTGCCATTTGTCTTTATTTTCCTTTTATTTATTTTTCCCTCCAGAAACATCTGTATGTCAGAATCTATGTGTAGTAACTTCCCAAAGTTTCTGTGGTTGAGAAATTCCTCAGGGTGAAGGCTGAGCAAACATAATACTTCAAATAATTTCCTCAGAGTTTAAGTTCTCAACAGACACTTCCAGACTTCATGTATGTAACCCTGTCAAGCAAAATACTTTCTTTTTCTCCCCATATTAATATTGGTGGGAAGATAATGGTACATAGAGGTACTTTCATAGTAAAGATTGGTAAGGTGGTTTTACTCTCTACATAGCAGTTCTTGGCAGATACCTTCAGAATAGTTTAAGTGCCTGTATCCTGAACACGCTAGTGTTTCTCTATCATGATTGGGATTAGCCATAATTCTAACGTGGCATATTGAGTAATGGGTATATGTTGGCAGTCTACTCTTAGGGAAGCAAATATCTTATTTAATTAAGATGACATCTAGTGGGATCCAGTAAGCAAGGAAGAAGTTGAACTCTGGCTACATTCAACTTTAACTTTACTCAAGATTATCCAGTTATTCATCTATTATTCCAAAGATATTTGTCACGAAAGACAAATATGACTCAATGTGACTACAGCTGAGGAATATAAAGTAGAATCATTGTTTCACATTAACCATGTGTGATATTGTTTTAAAAAAGTTTTTTTAATACTTAGTTTGGTTCTAGAATATTTAAAATGAAAAGGATGAAATTATAAACCAAAGAGTCCATTTTTATATACATAAATGTTATCAAAAAAATATTCTTCCTAAGTAGCTTGTTTTTAGATTTAATAAATGGATATTAAATAATTTTGTACAAACATCAATATATTGTAAGTTGTTTTTTATCTTCATATCCAACATTTTTCCACTTAAACACGTGCTTTTACTTAGTGTTATATCATTTATATTTGTGCACATTTTTAAATATTTATGAATTTGAAATTTCTTAAACACTTCATTTTATTTTGGTTTAGCAGTTATATTTCATTCAAAAATTTATCCATATTTGATACCCAGTGACAATACTCTTCCTTTAAACAACTCTCTTTATTTCTAACTCAATTTAGTTATTTATCACTAACTCTTATTTCTATTGCTATTGTAATATATAGTTATTTTAAATAACTTGAGACTTTGAAAAATGAGGCAATTTTGCTTAAAAATTGATAGCTGATTTTTGTATAACTTTGTAGCATTTAGTTTGAATAAAATATTCTTAAGGTGCAATTGTAGTATGTCAATTAGTGACATTAAATAACCTTGAGTCTGAAAGTTATTTAAATTCAAAATGCACTTTTCTTAGGGCAGAAAAAACAAAAACAAAAACTGTCCCTTATATCACAGATTAAGATGCAGTTGAGATACTGGGTATTGAGAATTAAATAGTGTCATTTTAAAGGCAAATGTGATTTTTAAGTAGGTAAGTATAATGTTGGTAAGAACCTTGTTTTTTTTTTTTTGTTTTTTGTTTTTCCCATTTACTGTAAATACAGATGCTTAAGAAAACCCTGGTTCAATGAACTGTTAAGGAAAATAGGTAAGGTTTTGCTTTTGTGACCATCCTAAAGGAAACCCATAACTAGGCTCTGCTCTTTTTAGGAATCAAAGACCAACCCGAGGTACCTGGGTTTAAGGTGAGAGGGGATTGAAAGGAGTAAGCATGTGGGAAAGAATTACATGAGATCCCTGATGAATATGGATGCTAAGATTCTCAACAAG